CTCAGCCCGGCCGGTGCAGGGCCTCCGACCGACCGCGGCCGAGCGGGGCCTGGGCGCGGGCGCCGGGGAAGCCCGCCGCGGCGGGCACAGGAGGAAGCGGCGGCGGCGCGTCCCGAGCCGTGCGCGCCATGTCGGGCGGGCCCCCCAAGGGCCTGCCGTCCACCGGGCCCCACTCCCTGCTCGACATGCCGCACCCGCTGGCCGGCTCCAGCAGCGAGGAGGCCGTGGGCGGCGACAGCACGCCCAGCCCGGACCTGCTGATGGCCCGCAGCTTCGGCGACAAGGTGGGGCGCGCGGGGCTGGGGACCGGGAGGCGCGTTTCGCTCTCGCGGGGGATGGTGGACCCGGAGCTCTCCCTCCGGGCCCCGGGCCGCGCCCACCCTGGCGCCCCTGCCCGGGGGCGGGCGTTCCCTGGCTCCCCAGAGCCATCGGAAAATCGTCCCTCCCGGCCGCCCCCGCGGGGTCGTAGCCGCAGGCGGGGCGGCAGGAGGGGGCGGGCATGCCCCGCCTTGACGGGTCGCGAGCGCGGGTGACAGCTGGAGGGGAGGGGTCCTGGCCGCGTGGTGCGGCCAGTGGCGGGTGTGCAGTGCCCGGCGCGTGGGATGGGGTCCCGGGTTCCTCCCGGTGCATCTGCGAAGGCTGAGCTGCTGGGTGACTTGTAGCTCCCCTACTTTCCTGGCACTGCAAAGAAGCAAGAGTTAATGGTTTTCCCTGGTGGGAGCGGCAGCGTTGGTCTTGCTGCCCGGGTCGTCTTCCTCACGCTCTGTCATGTGGGGAGTGATCTTTGTTTAGGTTTGCTGTGTGCCCCGAGGAGTCACCTGACTCAGACCCCGGCCGGCGGGTGGGGAGAGTCTCGCTGTGGTTTTCTGTCTGGGGCTCTTTCTTTCACCTCTCACGGCCTTCCACACTGTTTAGTTTTGTCAGAGACCCGTTTTTTGTGGTTGATGGAAGGAAAGCTCGCCCTTTGACCTTCTTTGTGCAGAAGGAAGCTCCTGATATTCTTAGAGCGGCATAATAATCCTGCTGCTTTGAGAGACAGCAGAGTACGGTGAAGGGCGAGGGGCGGCATCCCCATGACCCCCTGCCCCATGGCCATTTCAGCTGCGACCAGGACTTGAGCTGTGATCCTCTCAGCGCTGCTGTGCCCACCTACTCACCGATATGCAGAAATTAGAATTGTTCTCAACACTTGTGATCAGGACTCCCTCCTCCCAGTAAAATACTGAATGAATTCCTCCTTGTCCCAATGTTAAATGCAACCAGAGGGGACCTCTTTCCCCCGTAGATGGGAGGGCATGTGATACAATAAAAATGAGTATTAGTGCACTGAGCACTCAAAATGGCTATGGAGGGGGACTTGATGTACCTTCCTGAAAGAGTTGATGAAAGCCAGGAGTGGGGAGTAGAGCATTAGGAGCAAAAAGACTTAAAAAGCTAATTAAACCAATGAATTGAGCAGGTTGAGGTGTGTGTTGTGGGGGAGGGGGTTCCTTGTGATTATTTCTCTTTATTTTATAGATGACAAACTATGAAGAGTTATGTTGCTTGGAAATACCTTGCCCATATTTGACGTTCAATAAGTAATTGTCAAATGACTGAAAGAATAATTTGTTGCTCTCTTAAAGACAAATTGTTCCTGCATGCATGTGTGCATGTAGGATACGAAGTTAAACCTTCTGATTTCCTTCTCAGGATAGTGAATTAATTATCTATTGCTGTGTAACAAATTACACCAAAATTTTGCACCCGCAGATAGTTTGTGTGGGTCAATAGTGTCATGTCATCCAGGAGCAGCTGAGCTGGGTGGTTCTGACTCCGGTCTCTTTTGAGGTAGCAGTCAAGGTGTTGACCAGGGTTGGGGTCATCTGAAGATTGGGTTGGGGGAGGATCAGCTTCCAGGCTCATTCACTTGGCTGTTGACAGGCCTTAGTTCCTCTTTATAGGGCGGCTTGCCATGGCAGCTAGTTTTCCCCCAGAGAAAGTGGTCCAAGAGAGCAAGTGATCCCAAGATTCAAGCTATACTCTTGTATGATCTAATCTTGGAAGTGACATAATTCTGCCGTATTCTATTGATCACACTGCTAGTACAAAGTGGGAAGAGGGTATAAATATAGGAGGTAGGGGTCCCTGGGTGACTCAGTCCGTTGAGCATCTGACTTTGGGTTTTGGCTCGGGTCATGACCCCAGGGTTGTGGGATCAAGTCCTGTGTCCGGCTCTGTGCTGGGCGTGGGGTCTGTTTAGGATTCTCTCTCTCCCTCTGCCTCTGTCTTGCCCCCATGTGTGCACACGCCTCACATTCTCTCTTTCTATGCCTCTCTCAAATAAAAAAAAAATAAATAAAATCTTTAAAAAATATATCAGGAGACAGGGATTATCTGGCTATCTTGAGTGCTGGATGACACTGATTGCTATTCTAGTTATTTATTTTAAAGGTTTTTAAAATTTATTATTATTTACTAATTGCGATACCCAACGTAGGGCTTGAACTCATGACCTTGAGATCAAGAGTCACATGGCTCTTTCACTGGGGCAGCTAGGTGCCCCCACTAATGGCTATTTTAAACATTTGCTTAGCGATCCACTCTTGGAGGACACTTGTCTCAGAAATATGGGCATTTTACTAATAAATACTGGGAGGACAAATGCCCTGTACCACCAAGGTCTTGTTGGTGGGCAGGAAGTCAGGCCCAAGTCTAGTTACTCCTGGCTTCCAGTTCTATGAGAAGACAGTCTTGAAGCCATTATTATTAATTATTGAATGTTTAATAAGTCTCCATACAGCTGTAAGAAGCATCAAAATGACATCACTCCCAAGGGCCTGATTTATAGTAAGCCACTTTTCCTTGGAGGCTAAGTAATGTAATTTCTTTCTCTGACTGGAAGTAATATTTTCCTTGAATCTTGGCGTGCATGTATGTTCTAGCAACTCTGGAGAAATTTCTGTAGAGAGAAGCTAGCATGCAACAGAGGTGAGTCAGGACCAGTGGAAGGAAGGCTTCTCTTTGCCCTGCTTTCTCTTGCCTAGGCAGCATGCGGGTCATTGGAGGACAGGTAGGAAAGCTGAGTGCTGTGATCGGTCTTTGAAAAGAAACCTGTTTTCTTGCCTTTTTGGACAGTGCATTGTGACCCTGGATGCCTAGTTCAGAGTCAGTTCTGGGATTGGAGAACGAGGGTTTGACAGGCTGCTCGTGGTGCAGGGTTATTTATTGTATTATGCGGAGGAGAATCGCTTTCTGTGGGCCCAGGATGTTGCCAAGCACAGGGAAGTCTTGTGTCTCGGTCCAGCAGACACTACTGAGTGGCATCTGGGATGCTTGCTTGAGAAGGAGCAGCAACCAAATATGCCCTTTTCATCCACTGCCTTTGAAAATCATCCAAACCTTGGAGCTACGGGAGAATCCTTCCTATCTTCCCAGGGTTGCGTGAATTCTTTTCATGCCAGCTGAA